ACATTCGCTGCTACTAAATATTACTATCGTCAGCGCTGCCACTTCCACGCTAATTGGCTCTCATCGAGGAGCTGATTTCTATGGACCTCTCAACTGCGCGGGAACCAAAACACTTCCAGATATGTTTCCTCATTAAAATTTCACACAGAAAGCTTTAAACTTCGAGGGGCAAAAATAAAAATCAACCGATAGGAGAGGAATAATTGGTGTTTACAATCAATGATGGATTCAATAAATTCGAACTTCTCGCTCACATTAACTCTCGCCGTAGATTAAACAACCATCTGATGGAAGCGAATTAATGACTGACATGCGAAACCACGTATGTCCGTTCTGCCGTGCTATGGGAGAACGCCGTATGAACATTTGAAAGTTGCCAAATTTCCTTCAATAAAATGTTTATTTTTGAAGAAAGTTATGGATATTTTTTCTTTAAATTTTCAGGAACTTTGGTGAAATTGCAAGCAACGATATCTAAAAAATTGTAGGGAAAATACTCAAAAGTTTACCGGGAAATTCGGAGAGCTTCTCTGAACATAAATTCCCACTTAGTGGGTAATTTAGCGTAGAGTATCTATAATTCAGCGGCGCGCGGCGTGCTGCCAGCGCCACACGCTCGCTGGCGCCTACAAACCTAACAGGATACTTCACGCATTGCGCAATGCGTGAAGTATCCCTGTTAGGTTTGTAGGCGCCTATGTGCGTGTCACGCTGGTTGACCGCCACGCCGCGGAGTGCGCCGTTCATACGGCGTTTTTCCTTAACACGGCAGCGAATGCGACACGCGCTGCGATGGTAATGCGTGATTTCGCACTTCTGCCATTAAAATGTATTTATCAACAAACAAGTTTTGTTGGACTTTGCAAAAAGTTCGTGAATTTTTAACGAGTGCAACGTGTTTTAAGATACATTTTGGATACAGTGGCGAGGCGTTAATGATCGATTTATTAAGATTTTCCCGTTTGAAACTATGGTAAAGAATCAATTATTCAGGTGTTTTTTTCATGCGAACATCTTGTTTATCGATCCTCTACCACGGGTTTAAATGGCAGATCAATCGGAATATCGCAATGCACGCTAGCGCTACGCCACTATTTTGATGAGCGAACATGTCTTGCGATGGTTTAATTCTTTCTCTGTCTAAACTGCCCGATCTACTTCAGAGAAGAATACTCGAAAACACCTGACTTATGATATTTTAATGTTTAAGCTATTCAAACAAAAAAGGGTTAAATTTCATTGATGCTTGAACATTTATTTCATCTCTCACTACTGTGAAAAAAGTTCTGATGGTGGCGACTGTGCGCCCAAAGCTGTGCCCCACCCTCGTTTATGAGTATTTTTTCATTAGGTTATGTGGCCATGAAAACCATAATCACACTATCAAATCCGCATAAAACTAAAGGCGTAGACGGCTGGTAAAATAAACGCGATACACTGACATAGGTCTAAAAGGTGGAAGTTATTTCGGTCTTTAAAAATGCCAACATCTCTGTTTTGATTTCTGGATGCTTTTCAGAGGAATCATTTACATATCTAACAAGCATCTGATTACTGATTTCCTGTTGAACAAACAGACTGATTTAGTGGCTACGTCATTTTCTGCTATATTCCATTTATAATGGTTGCATCATTCGGTGTATCGATTAGTGATGATTTGAACCAAAAACAAAAGCACAAAGCCGCATTTCCAAATCCTGTATAAAATTAATTGTGCTCATTCATCACAATTTTTGTTATCGCAAGATCATAAATGGGCCTGTTGCATGCAAGAGATACAGCCGCGCAAATAGACTTTTTAGAGGTTAAATGACTCGAAAGTTACGATGGTCACATTAAAAATGTCTGAAATACACCCCTTACTGCGCAATTTGCGTTGTTAGGAACGCGCTTTTTCAAATTTCCCGCGTCTGGGGGCAGTTTTCGAATCACCGGAAACGAGCAAATGGCGGGCTCGGTGATTTCCGGAAGATGCCGAGTCGTTGTTGTTGTTGTTATTTTTTCCTTCAGTTTGTTTACAAACCCAACGTGATCTCTTATAGTAGTCCATATACGTCTATGCGGTAACCAAATCGATCAACTTTTAAATACCCAACGCAATCCTTCTGCATTTCATCTCACGATATCACGAGCTCCGATTTTTAGGTTACCTATGTCGTCAGTTTTAGTTGACCGGAAATAGCCGCGAATTGCCGTTAATTGTTTCCGTTAGGAAACTGCCCCCAGACGCGGGAAATTTGAAAAAGCGCGTTCCTATTAACGCAAATTGCGCAGTATGGAGTGTATTTCAGACTTTTTTAATGTGACCATCGTAATTTTCGTGTCATTTAACCTCTAATTAGTCTATTTGCACGGCTGTATCTCTTGCATGCAACAGGCCCATTAATTAATAACTCACTAAACTTGAGAAATTTCTGTTGCATTTTGCATGCACGGTAATGCATTTTACCACCATGCCACGACTGCGACAGGGCTACGTGTTTGTATGAAATGGCTCTATCGATCAGCGTGATAAAACGATGACACATCCACTAAATCAATCCATCAAACATTACAAGAAATCAGACTATTTTGGGGGGTATTCTGCCGTGCTAAGGAAAAACGCCGTATGAACCTTCATACGTTGCCAAATTTTCTTTGATAAAACACGAATTTCTGGTTAAACTTATGAATAATGCTCTTCTATATTTATTGAAAAGTTTTGATCGCAATTCCAACTGAAGTCCCTGAGTATTTCAAGGAAAAAATTCATAAATTTTCTCGATAATAAACATTTCATCGAATGAAATTTGGCGACTCTCGAATATTCATACGGCGTTTTGCCTTAGCTTAACAGTATTGGAATTCAACTATTCACACGAGATGGGGCTTAAATTGGACACCCAGAGCAAATCGATGGTGAAACTGCAGAAATGAGTATTTCGATTTGCGGCGTTGCAGATTTATTTACTTGTCATACTTTATTTTCTACATGGAAAACTACTGAACGTCATCTTTTGAGAAGTTCAGCAATTTTTCTTCTCTTTTAAAAGAATTTTCTGTGAAAATTTCAATCCTTAATGTTGGTTCGGTCTCTTCTAAAAATTAAAAAAATAGCGGAGAAACACCGCAACCGAGATACAACTTTCTGTAGTTTCACCGTCAAAAAGAGGGAACATTGAGTTGCTCATTCTGGGCATGGCCGGATTTCTACAACAAATTCAATCCTATGCCACTGTGTGGCAGGGCAAATACCCAGCCCTCCGCCCTCTCCCATCTAAATGACTCGAATACGGATCAGAATACAAGCAATATTCAGAGCAGAGTGCCTATAAAGGGTGAGTTATGACACGTTACGCCTTTCACGGAACTCCTTGGGCCCAATACCAAATAATCAAACCAGAGCAGAAAAAAATTTGACCTCCAGAGAGAAATGAATGATACTGACCAGAAAAGTGTAATTTTTGGAATAATGTGCACGCATCAAAGTTTGTTTATAATTCAAGAGTCTCGAAACAAAGTGAGCAAAGTCCATTTTGCTGATGAGCCCCAAACGCTATTGATCCAGGGTTCATTAGCGAAATGGACTTTTCTCTTTTTGCTTCAAGATGTCTCAATTGTTTTTAAAAGTTGAAAAATGAAAATTACTTGTCAGGTTTGGAACTATGACACTATTTTGTTGGTTTACATTCAACCCGAAAAGCTTATTGGAAGTATAAAACTTGCATCGAAAACCGTCACAGTTTTCCTGTGCTAAAAAGGTTAAGATACTCTCCGTGTATAGGACCATGGTCCAGTCCATGGGAAAGGAAACGGAGACTAAAGTTACATTAGATCAACTTTTGTTGAATTGGGTTTAAGACTACTATGCAAATCTCTCACCTAATTCCTGAATAATGAGTTACAGTTAGTTTCGTTCATTTTAGTGTCAATAAAAAGAGTAAAATTGCATAATAATCTGGTAAATGGAGAATTTGCACACACAGATTTTGTTGATTCATTTCATTGCTCTATGAGCTGAGTTCGCAGTATTTTTCATGTTTTTTTCTCATCTGAGAAATCATAAAAAATAGATTTAAAAATGAGAAAATGTGCTGCCTTGTGATGTCATCTGGCAGCATTTTACATTCAAACACATGTATTTTAGCAGATTAGGTCATTTTCTCATATTTCTCCTAACAATTGTTCAATTTACAGATCAAGAAAATCCGCGTGCTCTTTTCTTAGTTTCCCTTTGAGCATAAAACATACAAAATCTCAGACACCTGCAAATTCTCCATTCATGCCCTGAACATGGTAACTTAGAATTGTTTATCAATTTTGTCAAAACTACGTCTTTTGAACTATAAACTTCAAACTCACATATGTTAGGTTTGATTTCATATTTTACGGCATTTGTTGTCTCGAAATGCCTGTAAAATACTACTCCGTGATCAAGTATGAAGAGTTAAATTTTCAATTTTGGTGTACTGTGGTTCTTATTTCAAGGAGCGTTCGCGCACATGTATTTCAAAGCAGGAAGGGTAAATTTGCATTCTTTGCGATGAAAGTGGACACCCATAAAATGAGACACGGTGAACATATATTTGGACGTATTTCTAACAAACGGAACTATGTGCATTATGACGTTATGCATTTTGACGTCATTGCACGTCAGATTGCTAAATATTCCACTGATTTCATCCGGTCTTAAAGCACTTTCTGACAAATCTGTTCCCAAGTTTTTTCAGTCTCTGGCATTACTGTCAATTTTATAATTTGAAACAGCGCAAAAAAGTACTTTAAGGGCACATGAAATGGGTTTCACCGGTCAATTTGAATAAATGGAGAATTTGCACGCAAATTTTTTATTGCTCCATCCGAAACATCTGAAAATGTATTCAGTGCTTCAGTGCCAATCTTCATTGCGACGTGAGCTCTGTTGTTCATTTATTTTTATTGGTCTCAGGGCTCATGTCTTAATGCACATAGTTCCTTTGGCAGTAATACGTGCATTTTAAAGATTAAAACTGAGCACTCACCACGTCAATGATCTGCTGGAGCGTGATGCCGAACCGAACCAGAAGAGCGGCCGATTCGTTCGCTACCGGCCGCTCAAGAACATTGTACGAGTCCAGTAACTTGTCCAGAAGCCGCCTTTCGTGCCGTCCTTGTATTGAATCTGTTAACAGAAAAAGAAGAAATTGTTACGAATTATGATGACGTAAGTATGGCTCCTATACGACAGGCGCAACGCCGAATCACAAAACGCCTTCAAAACCGGTAGATACCACCTAGAGTTACCGTCAAGCTCGAATAGTTGCATCCCGCATTTCGTTCGCACTTGGCGCCACAAATACGTTCTAAAATACGTATTTAATCTATGGAAAGGCAACATTTGAATGGCACTAATGTTACTTAGCCATCGATTTACGAAATTCCTCGCAAATAGAGAATTTGCAGGTGTCTGAAATTTGATGAATTTTGTGTTCGAGTGAAAACTACTGAGTGCACATAACACGAGGGTACCCTTGGTTCATGAATTGAACAATTATTGGAGAAGGTATGACAAAATGATCTGATCTGCTAAAACGCATATGTTTAAATGGGAAATGCCGCCAAGAGACGTCACTAGGAGGTGCATTTTCTCAATTTTAAATCTATTTTATACAATTTTCCCATATCACAAAAACTACTGTGAAATCAGCTCTTTAAGCACTTTCAGATGAAGCGATAAAACATTTGCATGCAAATTCTCCATTGGTATTTTAACAGAGGAATTTCGACAACACCTGAAGGTTCTTACGGCGTTTGTCCACACTGCCGTGCGATGGAAGAACGTCGTATGAACATTCGAGAGTTGCCAAATTTACTTCGATAAAATGCTTATTTTAGATCAAAGTTGTGAATATTTTTCCTTGAAATTTTCAAGAGCTTCAGGTAAAATTGCGAACAAAATCATCTGATAAATTGGAAGGAAAATATTCATAAGTTTGCCTGGAAATTCGTGTTACAGTGGACTCTCGATAATTCGAACCTCGATAATTCGAAAACCTCGTTAATTCGAAGGAAAGTCTGTTGTCCCTTGAAAATCTCTTGATAATTCGAAAAAAATCAATGTAATTTTCTTCCCTCGTTATTTTGAAATTTTTAAGCTGGCGCGGCCCTCTATAATTCGAAATTGCGACGAAAATTCTCTCTGTAATTCGAAGTAAGGGAAGTAAATAGAGCCCTCCCTCTATAATTCGAAATAAGACGGTACATTCCATCTACAATTCGAAGTCAACTGTTTATGTATCTGAGTGTCTGAAAGAGACTGACCTTTGACCTAAAGACCTTTTGGCGTAAATCCGTCCATTTGCCCCTCTATAATTCGAATTCAGATGGCGCCTTCCCTCTATAATTCGAACCTCTCTAATTCGAAATTTCTCCACATGGAATCTCTTTAATTCGAACTCTCTTTATTTCAAAACCTCGCTAATTCGAATAAAAAGCCGATTCCCTTCAATTTCGAATTATCGAGAGTCCACTGTATATCAAAGGAAATTTGACAACGCCTGAAGGTTCATACGGCGTTTTTCCTTAGCACGACAGCACAGCACGGCGATCGTACGTACATGCGTGTGAACGAAGCGGCAACGGTGTTGGCACAGTGAACCGTTGCCCGAGTTTTTGTCACCTTCGGGCGGAGGGCGGCCCTAATGCATTAATACTGTCCTGAGTGCGCTCTTAAAGAATGTTTCCACTTCGGCAGGTTCTGCTTCACATCCGAACGCGCCTCCTCCACATCTCACCCCCTCCCCCCCCCCCCCGGGCCCCCTCGGTTTTTGTTCTTTGCTCAAACGCC